TAGTTCCCCCACAAGGGATCGAAACCGCGCCCCCTGCATCGGGAGCGTGGAGTCTCACACACTGGACACCAGGGAAGTCCCCGAGAACTAGGGTATTAAAGGAGGCCAATGCTGGGGTGGGTGAGCTGCTGGAGTGGGGAGAATTTATTAGATAAGGTTTACATTTTCAATTGGATACGCCATCCTCAAGAACAGGTTTGCCTCTTCAACTTGGAGGGTAGCTTACATTTAATGGTTGACTGCTGTTAGGGACAGCATACTTGGTGTGCCAACATCATTAAACAAATGATACTTCTAAAAGAAGTTTGTGTGTTTTAATGGAGGCTTTTTCAACCTGACATTTTACTAGTCAACTCTGTGCCTTTCAGTTAAGCCAGACACAAGTGGGTTCTTCTGGTTCCTAAAGAAGATGAGGTAGCACTCGGGAGCTGTTGCGATTATTCTTTGTCACTTACTGGCGCACAGTTTCCCATTTTGCATTTTTTCTCTTTATTGGTACATGTCCTGACATCCTATCTGGATTGTAACTTTCTTGAAAAGAAGGGGAGAGCGTAATGCCTGCACCAACTAACCCCATAGGAGTGAATTATGCTGAGGTTTCTCAGACATCTTTTTTTTTTTTTGCGGTACGCGGGCCTCTCACTGCTGTGGCCTCTCCCGTTGTGGAGCACAGGCTCCAGACGCGCTGGCTCAGCGGCCATGGCTCACGGGCCCGGCCGCTCCGCGGCATGTGGGATCTTCCCGGACCGGGGCACGAACCCGTGTCCCCTGCATCGGCAGGCGGACGCTCAACCACTGCGCCACCAGGGAAGTCCACTCAGACATCTTTGGCTATTCAGTGACTTTCATTAAGTAAATGTTTTATATTATTTTATTTATTCATTTTGCTGTCTCTTCAGCTTAATGGAACTCTCCACTGACAGTTCATTAAAACAAAGACATTTTATTTCAAAAGCAAAATAAGTTAAGGCTCAAACTGCCGTATGTCATTATCTGTACTGTGGGAGTGAGATTGGGGAACTGCAATGGAAATGAGTGTATGTGGCTGGAGTGAAGGGAGTACCCAGATAAAGCTGGTGGTATCAATGGGGCAGTGAGAGGGCACAGGAGAAAGAAGGGGGAAAGGGAGTCATGGGGGTATTGTTTGCTATCTATGCTAGCTCAGTAAGGTTAATTAACAGAATAAAAACTAAACTCTTACTAACAGCTGTCAGGATTCCAATCAGGAGTTTGGGTCACAGCTTTTGCTCTTGAAGGCTAAGTAAAACAATTAATGTAATACTATTAGGACATGATTACACAGGACATATGTCTACTATTTATTATCTCATTCCATTCACCAAGCAGTTTATTTCTTTGACGCACATTGGGACAAGCACTCTGATAATGAAAAAATGAGAGAATGTTGGCCAAAAATATTTTAAATCCCTTAAGCTGGTGGATTTGAGCATTAATTAATTTTTTTTCTATTCAAGTCATCACAGTGAGCCAAAAGTAAGTATAATTTAGCTCAGAGCCCAATATTTATCTCTACAGGTCACAGAGTCCCTCCAAATGATCAGGACTTGCAGTTGAAACACTTTTCTCTCTTTTTAGTGACATGATCAAATGCTTAATGAAACCACAGAAGAATGCTAGGTGAAGGGAGGCAGGCTTACCCAAAGTTGAAGGTACTAGTAAGCACCATTTTAAGTACAACAGAAAGAAAATGGGCTGTGGGAGGCTTTTTCACAATGTTTACCAATGACTTCCCATTTTGTATCATGTGATTCTCAGTTGAGAAACAGGCATCAAAGATCCAGCAGCAGGATTTATTAGATGGCATAAAGAACATGAAAATCAAATTTTCATATTTGATCTATGTACAGCAGGACACACTGGTGAGGCTAGTTAATATTGAATATAAAGGCCTACCTATTCTGAGTAGACATTTTCTTGTTAGAGCAGCTCAATCTGTAGAAAGGAAGCCATATTTTCCTAAAGATATGATTAATATGATGCCAGGTTCCTTTTAAACCCTTTAACAGAGTCCTGTTTTCTTTAAACTAAAGAGATGGCTCAATAGTTTCTCATATTTTGTTACTAAAAATGACATAATTTCTGTGCCCTGATTATCCTATATGCTTAACTGTCTGTGCCTTGTATCTATTTTATTTATTTATATTTTTTATTTTAAAATTTTATTTATTTTATTTTTTGCTATGTTGGGTCTTTGTTGCTGCACGCACGCTTTTCTCTAGTTGCGGCGAGTGGGGACTACTCTTCATTGCGGTGCGCGGGCTTCTCATTGCAGTGGTTTCTCTTGTTGCAGAGCACGGACTCTAGGCGCGTGGGCTTCAGTAGTTGTGGCACGTGGGCTCAGTAGTTGTGGCTCGCGGGCTCTAGAGTGCATGCTCAGTAGTTGTGGTGCACGGGCTTAGTTGCTCTGCGGCATGTGGGATCTTCCCCGACCAGGGCTCGAACCCGTGTCCCCCGCATTGGCAGGCGGATTCTTAACCACTGCGCCACCAGGGAAGCCCCTGTATCTATTTTAATTGCATCACACTGACTTTAAAAATTAATGTCAGAGCACTTCCAGAACGGAAACATGAGGAGCTCCCTGTATACTCGCCCCAATGAAACCACCATAACTGGTGAAAATTATAAATAAAAAAGGACCATTGGATCAGACTGTGGAACAATTTTATGCCCCAGGGCACTGTCAAAAACACTGGAGCAATCAGTTGCCAATTAGTGGACGCTAACAGCTGGGAGCTATATCCATAAAGGCAAACCAGCTAAAAGCTTGATAGGGAGATGAGGAAAAGAGACAGTCAAAGAGAACCTGACTAAAACCACTGTCATCCCCCAGGGCAGGGACAAGGAGTCAGGGTGACGGTGTGCATGCCAAAGTTGCACCTTCTGAGGAGAGATATTAGAGGCTGCACACTGTGGAGGAAACAAGAGTCTATTGACCAAGTCTGGCCAACTCACAAATAAACAAGCAAACAACGGCAATGACAACCAGACCTAGAGCCAGTCTGGATAGGTCTTCAGAGTTGCTACCATGGAAGTGTACAGTTTGCAACAAAAAAACTTATGAGACATACAAAGAAACAGGCAATGGGACCCATACACACAGAAACTGTCTTTGAGAGGACCCATATGTTGGACTTAGCACACAAAGACTTCAAAGCAGCTGTTATAAACATGTCTAAAGAACTAAAGGAAACCATGCTTATGAGTGTAGATTCAAAATTCCTCAACAAAATATTAACAAACCAAATTTAGCAACGTATAAAAACGATTATATGTCATAACCAAGAGGGATTTTTCCCAGGAATGCAAGACTGGCTTACATCTAAAAGTTAATGTAACAGGGCTTCCCTGGTGGCGCAGTGGTTGAGAGTCCGCCTGCCGATGCAGGGGACTGCGGGTTCGTGCCCCAATCCGGGAAGATCCCACATGCCGCGGAGCGGCTGGGCCCCGTGAGCCATGGCCGCTGAGCCTGCGCGTCCGGAGCCTGTGCTCCGCAACGGGAGAGGCCACAGCAGTGAGAGGCCCGCGTACCGCAAAAAAAAAAAAAAAGTTAATGTAACATATCACACCAATAGAATAAAGCACAAAACCACATGATAATCTCAATAGACACAGAAAAGGCACTAAACAAAACCCAACACCCTACATAATAAAAATAGGCAACAAACTAGGAATAGAATGGAACTTCCTCAACCTGATAAAGGGCATCTACAAAAAAACTAAAGCAATAATCACATTTAATGGTGAAAGACTGAAAACTATCCACATAAGACTGAGAACAATACAAGAATGTTAACATACTTCTCTTTATTCAACGTAATACTAGAAGTTCTATCTAATGCAATCAGGCAAGAAAAATAAAAGACATCGAGATTGGAAAGGAAGATGTAAATCAATCTGTATTCTAAAATGGCATAATCTTGCACACAGGAAATTCTAAGGAATCCACCGAGACACTATTAGAACTAATGAGTTCAGCAAGCTTGTAGGATTCAAGATATATACAAAATCATTTTATTTCTATACACCAGCAATGAATAATAAAAAATGAAATTAGGATGGGAATGTAAATCGGCACAGCCACTATGGAAAACAGTCGATGTTAACAATGTTTTAACGATGTTAAAAAATGCCAATGCATGGATAGTTGGATGGGTTGACTGATTGGCTAAATATTCATTGTGCACCTGTTCCATGCAATGGCAATCTACAAGGCCAAGATATGGGGGGCAGCGAAGGAAGAAAAGTCAATCTTCCATCATACCTTCCAGTTGAGTTTCTTCCTTTATTACATTCATTATTACATTTGTTACATATATTACACTAAATTCTTTTCATAAAAGAGGCTATGCTGGGCAGTAACCAAATTCTTCTTTCCAGAAAAGGTACTGTATGATTGAGATGATTTATGCAATTGGAAGAATTCACCAGAGAACAAAGTCTAGATTGTGAGGAACCCCAATCATTTCCAGTGTCCTCAGGTGCCCACGGTGGATTCAGGACTTCCACGCCGACGGGTCCCGGGGCACGAGCTGAAGACAGACGGTCAGCGAGAAGGCGGGACGCTCTACACGTAAAGAACCTCAAGTCCCAGAATCCCATGGGGACTCCAAGTCCCAGAAACCCGCCCGGCAAATCTACTCCGAGTCCCTAGCCGTCTGGCCGCGGACGCGACCAAGACAGGAAACTGGGGTGAGATGCCGCAGAATTTGTCCCCCACCATTTTCCTTGTAGGGAGGGGCTTTTTACAGAACTATAGGTACCTCAGTCGTCACATTCTCTCAGTTACAGCCCATGAAAGGCCCCCTGCCGGCAAGTTTTTTGTGATGTTCAGCATCCCCCCCTCCTCTCTCCCCTTTTCCTTGCCCCCGTAAGAATGGTTCAGCCGGGCATCTTGAGTTGGATCGATGGTTGCACCCGCCCTCCCCCGGAATGTGGGCCTTTGGAGCGTGTGAGGTGGGAGGGGCGGAGGTGGGAGGCGTGCTGGGCCCCGGCTGCAGCAGAGGCAGTGTCTGCCGCTGGCGGTGGGGGGAGCCGTGCGGGTTCCGGCTGCCCCGGCGAGGCGACCTCTGGGCCCGCGCCGCGGGCGTGGAGGACAGGTAGGCGAGCGGGCAGCCGCGGCTCCGGGAGAAACTCGGGCCTCGGAGTCCCCTACGGCGCCCGCTGCGCCCGTCGGCCTCCAGCGTTGAGGCGGGGGAGGAAGGAGATGCCGACCCAGAGAGACAGCAGTACCATGTCTCACCCGATCGCAGGCGGCGGCGGCAGCGGGGACCATTCTCACCAGGTCCGGGTGAAAGCCTACTACCGCGGGTGAGTGTGTGGGGTGGGGGTGGGGGTGAGAGGGAAGGGGAGAGGCCAGCTGGACTTGGCCTGGAGGGGGGGCGGGTGTGGGGCTGGAGATGTGGAAGGGATGGGCTGGGCGGGCAAGTCGGGACTCGGGATGGGTGACCGAGTGGTCGGGGGAGGAGCACGGGGCACTGGATTGCGGCACCCCCAAGGTGTGGCGCAGGGCGCCCTGGAATCGCGCGGCTGAGGGTCCTGAGCAGGGTCCGAGGGAGGAGCCTTGGAGTAAGTAGGTCCACCTGGTGGGTCCGAGAGACTCGTCTACCAAGAGATTTACAAGGGCTTTACGTCTTTAAGTCTGGATGTATTAGGGGTTGAGAGTTGATTCTGAGTGATGCCTTAGTTAACTAAGTTTACCATGGGTTTAAAAGACAGGATTGCTTCAGTTTGTTGACCCTTTTGATTACCAGCAGGCCTAAAGCCTCTGGTTCTCTAAGTCAGGTTTGTCTTTATCACATAGAAGAGATCGCGACGTGTACCTGGACTGTGGTCAGGCTGCCAGTATATTAGACATAGGAGTTATTATTTGAGTAAAGTTGATGCGTTTTCAGGGATATGCATTAGGTACTTATGTCTCGCCAAGATTAGGTTGTATATGTGTAAATTAAAATTTGTGAACGCTTCTTTGTCAGTGTTGCTTCAAGGACTGTCCGATAGGGTGAGATATTGCAAGAAGAGGATGAGCATAGGCACAGTTTTAAAATCTGTGATCTTTACTCATATTATTACCTAAGTTATAACTATTGTGGTTACCAGAAATGATCCAGTCCTAAAATCAGTGTATTAAATCATATTCCGTAGAATGCCCGTGGTTTGAAATTTCTTAGAGATAACTATATTTGGGAGCATTAGAAAGTTGAACTGTTAGTGTGAGCATAAAGGTTTGAAACTAAGTGTTAAAAGAACACCCGACCGCTGTGGCCTGTCTTACTGCTTGTTCAAGCAGAAGTAAATTGCTTTAAAAAACTCAAGCACTAGGAGGTTTGAAACTGCAGTACATACTTTTACATTCCTTAGAGGATCAGTGAAGATAGCAAACTTTCAAAATGCCTCTCTTGTTTTGATTTCAAAGAAAATATAAGCCCCTAAATGTCTTACTGATTTGATGTAAGGACTTCTAGTTTGTTTGCTGCCGTGAAGCCTCTGACCTCTCTCTGTTCATTAGCTTGACTGTATTTAGTAGTAGTTTAGAGGAGTTATTTTGGACAGTAACAGTGTTTTTGCTTAAATTGATCAGGGAAGTCTTGATTTTCAAACAATAGCTACGCACTTTGCACTGTGGGAAAAAAAAGCTTTGCTTCCTTTACCTTACCTTTAATTTGACAGATGAGATATTTCGCTTTAGAATGTGTTCCATTTTATAGTTGACGGTCTGTGAGTTGTTAGGTACAGAGAATGAAATATAGTACATTTTCTTTTTTTTAAATAGTGTCTGGTTATTGACAGTTTAAAAAACGAGGTTAAAAAATAAATACACGCACATGGTAGGAAAGTGCAAATTGTTCAGAAGTATAAAATACAAAGTGTTCCCCATTCAGTCCTCCCAACCTTCAGAGGTAATTACTATTGATAGTTTATTTCTTGTTCTTCTGGAGGTTGCCTTTATTACTTTAAAAGTTATACTTCCGTTTCGTGATTTATCAACTTTACATGGTATCTATTGATTCCTTCCTCTGAAGATGCGAAATTGGATGCACACTACATTTTGTTTCCTCGCTCCCTGATACCTCTCAAGTTTTGATTGTTACAGTATAATTTTTAGTTCTCCGGTTTATCTTTCTGACTTTAAATAATACAAATTTTTGACTTATTCATTTCAGGTAGTTTCCAATGATTCCAATTATGAAACACAAAGAAACTAGTGCTTCTTCCTTTTTTCCTATTTTTATTAGTTTGACAAGTGTAAATAGGCCTAGTTAGTAAATTAAAATCATTGTAAGCTTCTCTTTTGGAAAGAAATCAAAGTCTTTAGAATGTAGGTATCATATAATATTTTCTTGGTTTATTGCTCCAATTATTTTTTTTTTTAAAGAGGATAAGGACGGCTTCCCTGGTGGCGCAGTGGTTAAGAATCCGCCTGCCAATGCAGGGGACACGGGTTCCAGCCCTGGTCCGGGAAGATCCCACATGCCGCGGAGCAACTAAGCCCGTGCACCACAACTACTGAGTCTGCGCTCTAGAGCCTGCGAGCCACAACTACTGAGCCCGCGTGCCACAACTACTGAGCCTGCATGCCACAACTACTGAAGCCTGCACGCCTAGAGCCTGTGCTCCGCAGCAAGAGAAGCCACTGCAATGAGAAGCCCGCGCACCGCAACGAAGAGTAGCCCCCGCTCGTGGCAACTAGAGAAAGCCCATGCGCAGCAACGAAGACCCAATGCAGCCAAACATAAATAAATAAAATAAATAAAAAGTTCCCTTTAAAAAATAAATAAATTTAAAAAAATAAATAAAAGAGCATAAGGACTTATAACCCTTTTACTGCTTGACTAAAACGTCTCCAAGACATTCAAGTTAACATTTTCTTTGCTTGTTTTTAAAAACCTATGAATTTTGCTAAGTAATGAATCAACCCCTTGCCCTTTAGTGCTTTTATTCAATGAAAACTTTCTAATAGTGCCTTCATTCCAAGCCTCATTTAAAGACAACATCAGCACTCTAAATTGTACCAATTTCTGTCCTCTGAAATTAGATCTGTTAAGATTATATGTTTATTAACAATAGTCTAAACTGATGGTTATGATATTACTTAGTCAGCTGCCCATTACTACGAATGAAAGTAAAATGAGTCACCAATGAGGATAGTTAATAAACGGGTTGGCTAAGTAGAACACCTGCCTGATTTTAAAGTAGAAAATTCTTCCCTTACTATCAAGAAATGTAAGGACAATCTGCATTTGAAAAAGTTTCTTTTCCTTCAGATCATCTGAACGGCCGTTATCGATTTTCCCCCATCTCCTTCTAACAATATTTCTTTCCAGTGAATATTGAAATCTCAGAATAGACAGAATATTTTAGTGAATGAATTGCCGTCTCCTTTCAATGATGTGTTTAGTGTTCTCATGCTGTTTAATTTGTTCTTAGTGCAACTGTGTTGTCTCCCTAGATATAGCAGATATTTAATTAGCCTTTTTCTAATTTTTATTCAGGAGATTAATAGCACTGAGAATCTGATTTTATTGGAGGCCACCTAAGAGTGCCTGTCTCCTGGCCTGTACTCCTCTTTCCTCACCACAGGAGCTTGTCAATGAGTGGCCTGCCTTCCTTCAATCATTACCTTGTGGTGTTAGCTTGGAGGAGGAGAAACAGGTTTTGTGGGTTAGTTGTAGATTGCCATTGTGTGTGCTATCGTTCTATAAAGTTACTTGATATTACAGGGTAAAATTTAACAAGGAAATGTCTGAATTACTCGTTTCTTTACGTTATAAATGTAAGAGAAATTTTGCAAAGAGCTTGTAAAAAAGCTTTTTAAACCAGTGCTGTTGAGCAGTTATGAATCCAGAGGATTCTTTCTGTGAACATCTACAAATAAAAAGGATGAACTCCTTGCATATTTGGAAAGTATAGCTGGTTTAGTGACGAAGTATGCAGGATTTTTCTCACTGTGAACAAGTCTTGGCAAGACTTGTTTTTAAAAGTATTGCAAAATAATTTTAGTGATATACTTTAGCAATGGTTCTAAGGAAATAAAAATGATATATTAAGTTGAAAGTTGGGGGAATGTGAGTCATTGGTCATGCAGCTTCTGGCATGTCACCTAACCATAGGGCAGCAGATCCGTAGCTTCACCAGAGAGAAAGAAGGGACATGGTGGCCTGGTGCCAAAACCAAAACAACCGTCTCAGAAATTTGGATTAGATAATGTGGAGATAAATTGCTTGTTAGCAGTGAGGACTGAAGCTGAAGAGTTACGGGAGAGGCTGGTGAGGCCGGGATCACCCGTGTGCAAACTGAAGGGCTGAGGAAACAGAGGAGAAAAAAGCAGCTCTCTACAGAGAATAATTTCCTGGATAGCTTTCTAATACAGCTCCCAAACCTCTTATTAAAGTAACTTGAGTGTTTGTTTTCTTTATGGTTGAAATGAGCCTAATTAAAACACTCCAGTCCTGTTTAGGATTTCACATTTTACCAAAGTGTGTTTAAATTCAGTTTAATAAATATTGTTGAACAACTACTATAAGCCAGGCACATGGTACTGGGTTGGGCACAGAGGATGTAGAGTCGATAATACAAGGCTCTGCCCTTGAGGAACCAAGAGACTTGTGGGAGGAAAGACTTTAAAAAGTTAATAAAGGGATGTGTGTGTGTGTGTGTGTGTGTGTGTGTGTGTATGTAAGGTACGTGCTAGGATGGCTATTGGGGAGAAGTTTGGGGTGAGGGAAGCCCTCCAAGAGGATGAAATGTTTGATGCTTTTAAAGGATAAGTAGGTTTGCCTGGTGGATTATGATGTTGGGTGGGAGGTCATTCCAGGCATTGCACAGCTGCATGATACGTTTGGAGAATTAAGATCAATTTAGTCGTTAGTCCCATAGTCATTCCTCATTAGGACATAAAGTGTGAAGTGGACACTGATGAGAAGTGAGCTAATAAGAAGGTTCACAAGCACTAGATCATGAAGACTCTCGAATATCATACTTTGGGCTTCAGACTTTTTCTTGTTGGTGAAGGTTTTAAGTAAGAGGGATGCACGGTTTAGATTTTTATTTTAGAAAGATCACTCTTGGAACCAGTATAGTAGACGAATTAGCAACGGATGAGACTAATCTGGAGGCTTTGGAAGTAGTCCAAGTGAGAGATTCTGAGGAGTTGGAAAAGAGGATATGGATTCAATGGCGATTTTAGGGGGTAGAGTCAATATAAATTAGAGAATGATTGCCTGTGGAGAAGAGAGAGGGTCTGAGTCAGACATGGATTTCTCATTTGGAGAGACTAGGGAATAGAAAAGAAAGAGATTTATTAGAGTAAT